ATTCGAAGTCTTTCAAAATTAGCTCCATTTTTTTTTTTTATTGAAAAAGGGAATTATAAAAATGCATGTATTTCGAAATTCATTTATTTTTTATTGTCACTAAAAGAACGACTTATATTTATTTTGTTTTATTTTAGGAAACATGTTGGGTTTTATCTCCCTATTCACATTGCTCGCTTTGGCAACAGCTAGACCCGGAGGTGGCTACTATCCCAAGGGAGGTTCCGGTGGGGATGGAATAGCTGTCATTCAAACCGGTGGCGGTGGTGGTGGTGGATCTGGGATTTTCTTAGGAGGCGGTAGTGGTGGTGGTGCTGCTGCAGCAGCTGCTGCAGCCGCCGCCGCAGCTGCTTCTGCAGGTGCCGCAGGTGGAGCTTTCGATGGTGGTTTCCATGGTGGATACTACCCAGATATCTTTTACGGTGGCATTGGTGGAATTGGAGGGGCTGGGGCAGCCGCCGGTGCTGCCGCAGGTGCAGCTGGACTTGGTGGAGCAGCCGCTGCTGCAGCAGCTGCTGCCGCCGCTGCCGGTGGATTAGGAGCTGCAGCAGGTGCTGGTGCTTCCGCAGGTGGATCAGGTGGATTAATTTATCCTGGACCAATCTATCCTGGACCAATTTACCCACCAGGACCTATCTATCCACCAGGACCAATCTACCCACCAGGACCTTTCTACTTTCCTGGATCAGGAGCAGGAGCTGGCGCAGCAGCTGGTGCAGCAGCAGGTGCCTCTGGCTTTGGTGGATCTGCTGCCGCCGCCGCTGCTGCTGCTGCTGCAGCTGGTGGATCCGGTGGAATCATCTACCCTGGCCCAGTGTACCCTTTCCCAGGTCCAATCTATCCACACGGACCCTTCTATCCTAAAGGTGGCTTTATAGGAATCGGTGGAGGCGGCGCTGGAGCCGCTGCAGGTGCTGCCGCTGGAGCTGGTGGATTTGGCGGATCAAGTGCTGCTGCTGCTGCCGCTGCTGCAGCGTCCGGAGGAGCTGGTGGATTCGGGGGTCAAGGTCTTTTCCTTGGTGGATCCGGAATCGGTGGCTCCTCTATAGGAATCATCGGTGGCGGATCTGGCGGTGGAAAGGTGAGAATGTTTTACATTGACCTTAGTTAGAAAGCCAAACTAAGAATTATTCGCTTTAAAAAACCAATTTTTAAAAATGTTTACAAGTCTCAATTTGCACTAATGTTTTCTCTTTTTTTTCATTGTTTTAGAAAGTATACTAAACTGTGATGGAATATTTTAATCAAGACAACAGACTGCCTGGGGACTGAATCGTATATGTAAATTTACATAATAAAAATATTTGTACTCATCATTGTAATATATTCTTATTTTTATATTTTGAGTAATTTACAGGAGATTTGAGTTTACAATGAGGTTAATAGTAGACACAAAGAAACACAAAATCCATATATGTTTACTTGTTTTCGGAAGTTCGTTACTGGTCTTACTATTGAAAGGTCTTTCAAAAACCTTGAGACACCCTTACAACAATCAGGCTGAGAATTCAGACTTAAAATTACTATAGTATATTGGATGAAATTTGCACAAAACATAATAGAGACCCAGTTCAATGATGCTTTGCATATGCTACAAAATTAATTCTCCTCTGTACATGTATAATTAAGGTCTTTGCAAATCTGCAGTTAATTTTACTTAAATGTCAAAGGACTTGGGTCTTCAATGATGTCTGTTTTTGTAATGAAAATGTAATTGTAATGTGGAGAAAACGACCAGTGTTCAAGCTCAACGTCCATTTCAACAATACATGTACAAATTGGGAACAGAGCGACACGGGCCGCCAAAAACGTCAGAGGTGGGATCATGTGCCATGGAAGAGTGAACATCCCATGCAATCTCGTCACATCCGCTGTGTGCGCCTCGTCATAATCGGCAAAAACGAACAAAACATCCGTAGACCATTCATTGTGTAAATAATGACCTAACGCAGTCCGCATTTGATCTAATGATAGTTTGTACTTGCTGACAAGATCATCGTATTGACCATGATAATTGTAGAATGATGAAAAATTGTAAAATTGATTGATCGATTATTGTTGTTTTACGCCGAGTCGGCAATATTTCAGCCATCATTGTAAAATTATACAAAGTTGAAACGCAATTGTCGATATCTTGTTTCATCAACTGTTTTGTCAATAGTGTGCTTTGATTTAGAAAATGTTTGCAAGTAGAGCATGCTTTTGCTTATTAAATTAAATGGGAGGCATAAAGTTAACCCAATATGAATATGATAAGGGTATATTGCTTCAAAGATAAGGGTAGAAATGAACGATTGAAAATTTGAGGTCATCACAGGATTTGAGGATTTGTTGTTAACCATGAATTTAAATCTTTTTCTATTAAAATATATATCTAAATTTGAAATGTGTAACTAACAAAAATGATTTTGCAAATGACCAATGACAAGGTTAGTATATATGTGTTTTTATTTTTATTTAAAAAAGCAGTTTCTATGTCATCAATTTTTTTAACGATGATTTGGAATCGACATCATCATTATTTGTTTTGTTTTGTTTGGTTGGTTTTTTGGGCGGGTGGGGGGTGGGGGGGGGGGGGGGGGTGGTTTGCTTTTTTTGATTTTTTGTTGTTTTTTTTTTCTTGGGGGGGGGTTATACAGGTAAACTGTAAATGCAAGAGATGGTTATTTCACCTGAGACGAAGACTCACATGAGCTTTCCTGATCAAAATGTTTTGTCAGCCGTTATCATTCTGATAAACTTTTTTTGATCTTCTCCCTCGGGCTTATATCAGCCAAACTTAGCATAGATTAATTCTTGGTGAAGGATATTCATTATTGCAAAATCATGGAATTATGCATTTAAAGACCCAATTTTTTTTTACCGTACGGTTACCTGAGGAGGGAGTGGTCCAAGTAACAGTGGTGTTATTTACCTGGAGACCCCCAATACCCAAGATGTCAAAAATCTGTGTATACGTAGCATTACACAGGAAGTCTGTGTCTGGTAATTAGGGTCAACATTACGTGTTTCGTGTCTGGTTTTGAGTGAAACTACGTAAAATAATTATTTTAATATGAAATTTATTTGTAAATTTAACGCATTCATCGTAATCATGGTAATGTTTTGAAGGAAATGTTTTCCTTACATAAAAGAAAAAATAACGAGTAAAATTTACAAATCAATAATATTTATCTTTTTTAATCTTCTATAAAAGAAATCACTTGATTAAAAAAGTCTGAATATTGAAATTAAAAAAAAATTATTAATCCACCTATCCGTCGTGCATGTGAATATGCATTTACCGCGATCGGATTTTTTCCCCCTAGCCAACAATGTTGTCCAAAAAATCCCATATTTTTTATTCTTCGTGTGTTAACAAAATTTTATTGTTAGAAAGTTTTCTTTTCAGAATCGATCACTATCAATTATCTTCACATTTTCATTACGTATATATACAGACGCTAGAGGAAATTCGAGCATTAATTCTGACATCAATTTCTGTACAACATCGTGCGGATTGTACCTATAGTACAAAATAAAACATCTCTTAAAAACTATGCTATGCCGTTTATTAGTGCTGAATATTTTTCTTATATCCCATTTCTTAAAAAATAATTTAAATCGTCGGATTCCAATTACGGCAAATAGAGCCGGTTCTGTGGACGCGGTCTTTTTTCTACAGATAACGTGGACGATATAACACTTACAAGTAACAAACAGCAGTGAAGATAGAAAAGAAATATTTTATAATGTCAATGTTTTAATTAGTCTACTTTCAATTATTTTTGAAATAAAATTCAAACATATTGGAGTTTTCTAACCCGCGTGTATACTATGCGGGTACATGAAAGAGTTTGACGCGTGACCAGGTAATTGTTTTCAAAACATGCAAACTCAGATTATCAGGAAGCACAGGTAGCTGACCTGTCAATCAAATCAGAAGCTATTGTTTTTTTAATGATTGACAGGCGGTAAATTATTGATCTTGAATCAGGTAGATTTTGGGGACGTTAACATAAAATTGGGTGTTTAAGTAGATAAATCAAGATTGTAAAACACGGGCAAAATGAAGTCTAGTAAAAATGGTTCATTGTTAATTATGTTTTTGAAGTTGTTAACTAAACATAGATTTAAATTTATCCGGATATTTTTTAGTATAAAAAAATGTAAACATCCCCTAATAAAATTAATATTCCTCTCTCTCTCTCTCTCTCTCTCTCTCTCTCTCTCTCTCTCTCTCTCTCTCTCTCTCTCTCTTCGCTGTTTCTTTCAAGTAAAGATACCCACCCACTTTTGTAGTCTGTTATAAAACATAAGACATTTTTGTTTAAGATAAACGCCCTTATAGGTTTATATTAATATAAAACAAAACATAGACAAAAACTAGCGTTTATAACAAATAATTATAAGTTGTGTCTAGTTCTGTTAATTATTTTAAACATAAATAGTAATGAATTTGATGTCATGTAACTTGGTGGCAAGTTAGATACTAACTTGCCCTCTTGTGTAACCGGGGTTTTTAATGCATCTTGATAAAAAAAATTTCAAAAGAAAATCTTCCTTTCATATGTTTAGTTACAGTGCAAAGTTTCTTGAAAGAGGGGTGCAGTATAAGATCTGGAAAAATCATTTCCGATATGCATACCTTATGTTTTGGTTAATTTGTGCCATTTTCTTGGGTTCCGGTGCATTCCTACTGAAGTATTGATTTTTACATATTCAATGAACAAAATCTATAAATTTTGCTTTTAAAAAGATAAACAATGAATTTTACGTTTTACGTGTAAAAATGGCTATTTTTATAATTACATTTTAAGGATAACATGACATAATGCAACCTCAAAGTAGGAAAGCTGAATCTTATAAACACAGTTGTATGCTTATTTTACACAACAGAGCGTAAATAGGATAATGTTTACTTAATAGAGATTATGCACCAAAAGAACACGTCCAAGAAATCAGACGTGAATTTAAACAAATCTGAGGGATTACAGAGCCGCATTTACTCCTCCTTGTGAACTATCTCAGTCCCATTCATTTTTTTTCTTACGAAAACGGATCTTAATTGTACATAACATCTGTCATGAATTCTGGGAATAAAATCATCTTTCTTACACTTCTGTTACTGAAGGTAAGTATGTTTTACCAATGTAGTTTAAATGTTAAAGCTATGAGATTATATTTTATGTTAGCTTGAACTTGAAAACCCATCTATTTCCGATACTTTTCGAGAATTGTGGTATCATTAACTCTATCCATGAAATATATATTCAATTCCCAACAATAATTCCTTTAAACATCTTTGCATCGTCATTGGAGTTGTGGATAAAAGATGGGTACCTTTCAATAATATATAGAGAGAGTGGCATCGTCAATGTTCTGCTATGGGAAACCTGAAATATGCTTTCGATCAAAAAGTCAAATGGGGGGGGGGGTGCACAATGGCACTATGTAACAAAGATTAATTTAATGTTTCGTTAAATTACATTCAGCTGTATAAGAGGAGTTGCGGATAAGAGATGGGTACCCCAAAGCTTAACAGACAGACGAACGTACAGACGGACGGACATCCCGCTCACTGTATACTCTCCCGCTTTTCAAGCGGGGGTATAACATGGAATTTTGGTGAATTCCGGTATTCGGAGTTGCTCATGTTTAATCGATAATTAAGCGTAGAACCTAGATATATGTTACATTGTTTACACCATAGCATCATGTCACCACATATTTTTAGAAAACCTCTTTTTAAAATTTTGTTGCAGGATATTTTAAAGAGGTACTGAGAGCACTGCTCTCACTAAGTAAATGATACTCCCGCTTCCCATCTGATTATAATGGCAAAGTCCATATTTTGCTCCGAAATTAGGGTCAGATCAAAAGGTATAATAGAAGGTGCAAAATGGCATAATCTTATTAAGAATATGTTAAGTAGATCATGAAATTTTCTTCCGTGGTATAAGAGTGATGTAGATAAGAGGTGGGTATCCTTCAATTTTACAGAAAGAATGGCAGTCCTTTTTTAGAAAGAATGGCCGTGTCCATGTGTTGCTATGGGAAACACGAAATATGTGACGGATTAAAAAGTAAATGAATAAAGAGGTGCACAATGGCACTATATAATACAGATTCTGTGAAAGTCTCATTAAATCTCATTTAGTGGTAGAAGAGGAGTTGCAGATAGGAGATGGGTACCCAAAAGCTTAACAGACGGACGGACGAACGTACAGGCGGATGGACATCCCGATCAGTATATTCCCTCCCACTTTTCAAGCGGGGGTATAACAAGATATGTTTGTGAATCACCGATGCATGGCATCTCATGACGAATGTTTCTAAAATGCAATTGAAACTCCAAGCTTAAAGTCAAAACGTTTTTTTTTTTCAAACTGCTGTCAAAAGAAAGATCTTGTCACAATAAAAACGCTTGACAAAAATGAGAGCCCCAACACCAACCATTCAATTATTACGGCCATGGTCACAGTTTTTCCAAAATAGATCAACTGTGAAGTCAAAATTAATTTAAACCAAGGAAAGGTCTTGTCATGAGGACTATACTTGTAAAATATCAGGCCTTGGCAGTAAATACTAAAAATTAAGAGCAAGGTTTAAGTTTTTATTTTAAAGATAGCGCAAACTCTTCATTCAAGGTCTTTAAGGGTCAAAATCGTTGGTGTCAAAGTGATGCTCTTATTACATATATGCAAAAACAAATTCAAAAGTTAATTTTAAAGAGTGAAAACTGTTGGTACGCAAAGGGAAGGTCTTATGACAAGGAAAGCTCATGTGTAAAAAGAAAGCCCTAACTCCACCTTTTTTAACATGATGACCAAGGTAATTTTTTTAAAAATATTATACACTTATACATAAGTTTATAGACTCTATATGCATATTCCCTGTTTGTTGCATTTTTGTGACTTTTCACAACAAGTATAGGAAGTGTATGGACTATATTCGCAGCACTCCTCCTCGGCAGGACACGGGTGTGATCCGCAGGTCATAGGTTGTGGCGGAGGAACATGCGGATCGTAGTTACAGAAAATCCCAGAACATTTAGTTCCAGGTCGTATGCTAGCGACAAAAAGGTCAAAAACGGATGTCTGCTGCATCGGTGCTCCATTTGTAAATGGTCCGTTCCAGTCAGGTGAAAACACGGGCCCTGAAACTTTGAAATAAGGGGGGCCATCCTTAAATGTGATGTTACATCGGGATATTGGGTCTTCGTTACACATATTGTATTTCATGTTAGCTTGAACTTGATATTCCATCCATTTCTGATACTTTTCACGAATTGTGGTATCATTAACTGTATCCATGAAATATCTTAAATTCCGAACAAAAATTCCTTTAAACATCTTAGCATCGTCATCGCAGTCAGGGTCACAGTTCTTTTCGGTGAATATACCACTGGTATTACTGTTGTAGTCGATAGCTGCTGTGGCTATTTTATCTGCTAGAATAAGGTATGAATCGTTATTGGTAAGTTTATACATTTCTGAAAAAGCTCCGATCATAATGCCAGTTTCATAAGTATATCCAACACTGTTTGAAGGTTTGCAAGAATTTAAATCAATGCCATCACTGATAAGAAATGTAGAGCTGTTGATTAAGTTATTAGAAAAGATATATTCTTCAATCTTTTTGTATTTACTCCTGAATTCTGTATTGTTAGTCAACCGATAGAGTTTGGCGGCTAGATGGAACATTTGGACATCTGTTATGGTCTGTTTAGCATTGAAGTTGTTGTCAAACCACATGCCTCCGTTACACTGCCCATTAGAATCCCAGCCCGTCTTCCAGCTCCAGTTCAGGATGTCAATGGCCGTCTGAAGAAACTCTTGAAGATTGAAAAGTTCGAATATCCTGGCATAGCTGAGACCAAACCAACCCATGTCATCAAAGGAAGGGTAGGGTCCATAAGCTTCCATCAGAGAATAAAGTTCTCTATGGGATCCCGTGACCACAGTCAGGTATCTCTTGTGCTGGGCGTACTCCATAAAGTTAGCCATGGACTCAAGTACAGCGCCATTTTGCCAAAACCCATCATACCCGTTCCAAATCTGCAATTTAAATTTCCACATTGCTGTAGTCTATAGTTTCTGATTGTTGCGACGAGTCCAGTTTTGAGGATAATATTGTCTTGATGAAATGAAAGTATCTCTTTGACGACATTTAATCCTTAACCATAAATATCAGATTTTATAAAGTTATATATGTTTTTCATGTTTCCGTATTTAAAAAAGTTACCTGGTAGCTAAACAGACCAGCTATAGGTGACGGATACCAATTCGATTGATGAGCAAACTCTGTAACACAAGCCATATAAGCGCTGACGTCATTTCCGAACATCTTCATGGAACAAGTTCCGTTCTCATTGGATATTACTGCGCTAAGAGTATAACCAGATGTTACACCGAATAATACTGTTATTGTCAAAAGTCTCATTTTAAAGACTTGTTTTCTAGCCTACTTTAAACATCTGATAGGATGCAGATATATTTCTGATAACGGCTAAATGGTTGTTATCGCTGTGTATTGATAACGATTAGCCCAGTATTACATGTAAATGATTCTATTCAAATGATTTGGGCATATACGATTACATCTGTGTATGGGTTACATGTATGATGAAGTGATGGAAAAAAATACTTATCCTACAGATTTTTTTTTTTCACTTTATTTATAAATGCCTATTTTCAACATCATTTCTCAGGTGAAATATAAAAATGGTGTTGATTAAAAAGCAAGCTTTGTGATATCGTCAACATTACATAAGAGACCATATAACAATGTGTGTGAGAACATGGTCTATACAAATTTTCCCCCATTAATAAATTAGCAGACCTACATCTGTATTAATATAACATAAAATTTATTCAAAACCTTATATATGAGAAGAAAAAAACTTGACCACCAACTCGACATTTAGATATACCATAAAATATATATAGGTATATATCGACGACGTATTATCAATTAACAATAGGTATTTCTATTCATATGTTGTCATGGTACATCCCATTGGGTTTGAAATAAAAGATATCACAGAGTCTGACACATCTGTTTAATATTTGGATTTTTTTACTGGAAAAAAAACGTAAATGATGATCTAATAATCAAACTTTATGTTAAACGTGATGACTTAAACTATTCAATTGTCAATCCCCTTTACCATGATGCAGCAATATACCTTTTCACCGCTTTATATCTCTCAGTTGGTTTTGATGCGCAGGAGCATGCTTTACTTATGAACAATTATATCTAAAACGAGGTATATTACTAGTATTGACAAATTGATGAAATAAGGATATCAACCATCTAGCTGAAAGTCATCATTTCGTATGTTCTATGGTCAATACAATGACCTTGTCAACAAATACAATCTATCATTAAGGTAAATGCTGACTAACGTTTTTTTATACCACATGTAATTTCCTGATCGTGAAAAGGATTACACGGAGGGTGTGACCGGTCGGCAGGGGATGCTCATTCCTTCATGGTACCTGACCCCATCCTATGTTTTAGAGGTCCGTGTTTGCTATGCTCCTGATCTGTTTGGTTTGTAGGGATTTCAAGCCTTGAATATTGTCATTATAAGAAAAGATTCAACAATTAATAGATTAAATTGATGCCTGTATATTCAGCAGTTTTTTACTATGGTTGAAGTTAAATAAGGGTGTATATAGTAAAAATCTTTTTAAAATCGTTCCTATGATCAAGCATCTATAATAATGGAACCATCCACAGGTAGTATAAATTCAAAATTATTCAAAGTATATTCCCCAGGGGTAGTTAGAAGTCACAATTGGCAATCAAAGTTATAATAAGAAAACATGTGATAAAAATCTTTAAAAGAATAAAGAATTGCAGTGCCAAATTTGGTCATATTTATATGGAAGCATCCGCAAAAAGTGTTTATAATAGTGTATACTCCAAGTTTGTTCAAATCGTAAATCCTATGGAAAGGATGACGTTAAAAATGACAATTAAATATTAACATGAGAATACTGAAGAGAAATATTTATAACCTTTTCTCTTAAGAACAGCAAAGCCAAAATTAGGCATATTTATTATTTTATATGGTAGCATCTCCATATGTGTATACATAGATTCACGTTTGTTCAAATCTTGACC